AACTTTTCCTTAGATGTTTGAACCTGAAACAAGCAAAACGTTTACAACACTTTACAAACGCTTTCCGCTTACGGAAATCCGCCATGTTTCTTTCCCACGAATCAGTACTTAGTCTCGTTCGGCCAAATTTCTTAACTGGGGTGATCATAGAAACTCGGTTCCAGGCCTCGCTGCCAGCCCCCGCTGCTTGAGGTCATGATTTACGTAGGGTTTAGTTTGACCATAGTTATCTATCTTGTCAGGTTTGAAGTGTTTCTCGCAAGTAAATATTGCGTCGTTGTCTATCAACCTCTGAAACTCGGCGTTCTTCTCACGGGTCTTCGTAATCTCGCCAAGCCATGCTTCCCTCCACTTCTTGTGCTTTGGATCTTTCGCTGCTGGTAGCTTGAATATGCCCAGACCTTTCGTTCTCCGACACGATCCGTAGCCTCAAACTGCACAATTTTCGCCAGAACTACTCATAAGTAAGTTTTCTTTCGAATCTGGTAACTCAGCAAGTCCGAAAACGATTTAAAACATGCTAAGCTAAAGACACGCTATATAAACTTCGAAACCGGACGCCATCTTGAAATATTGTGTGCAGGCTCAATGTCACGTGACATTGAAAATCGTAAACAAAGACATATCTCTTTGAAGTTCGCCGAGTTTCCTAACCAGTCTCCTCTACTAACTATGGTTTGACCTCAGGAAGCTTTCACTTTCAATTTACAACATGGCGGAAGCAGCAAGAAATCAGCTACCTTCGGGTTATGACGAGGTCTTTGTGAGTGCAGTTGAAGATGATTTGCAGTGCTCGATATGTCAGTTGCCGTTCAAGGAACCGCTTTTAACGAGATGCGGTCACAGGTTTTGTAAAGAATGCCTCGAGGATTATTTTAGAAGGTACGGGTTTCTTAACGTCATTAGGCTACAATGTCCTGTAATCTTATATCTTCATAGCTTTCCTTTTGGCGTCTTTTTTTCTATTAGTGACAGAAGCGTAAGCTTAAGCGAAAGAAAAGATATATGAAAAGAAGCTCTCGTTCATTTGGTGCTTACTGCTATGTTTTCCAGCTTCTTGTTTGGATTGTTATGTTTACGATTATGTATGCGTGCTTTAGTTGGCGCCGCCAATGAAAATTTGGATTACTTAGGTTACTTTAATATATCTTAACTTCTTGAAATTGTCTTTCCCGGTTTTGGTCCGTTGTAGCTATTCAGTGGGAAGATATGAATTGGATAATAACATTCATCCGTGAGTCTGTCTGTGTTCAGTCTTGCGGCTTATGCAAATTTGACCGTCAGCTCATTGAAGGGTATCAAGATGAGATGATAATTGACGTCCAGCTTTCTGCTTCATTAGATGGCAGAGGTGGTTTGAATACTAATGTTCAGTTAGCTATTACAGTGGTTATTAGTGACAGCAATTAATCTGGCATAAAGCAGATAAACTTGATTTGCTTTTATGAAAGATATTTCCTAGCGACTTTTCCTACGTCTTTTGGTACGTCTGCTGAGACCAAGTGGAAGGGGGTGGGGGAAGCTTTTGAGACGCTCATCCTGTATTAAAGTCACAACGATGAGACCTAAAGCATTTACAGCACGTCCGAAAATATTTCCCTTGAGGTTAATACCATAGAACGTTGACGTAACATGACGGCAAACTAACGCAGTTATTTTCGAACAGACGTACGTTGGCTTTTATAATTATGGGAAACCGTGAAAGATGGCTCGAAATAGTCAAAGCTGGTAATGAAAGCTAAAACTAACAAGGAAGCTAAGAGTTATTGCAAGAGCCTTGAAATTTTACCCACAAAAGGAAGCAAGAAAATTCAGAATTTAAATACACAAACAAACACGGTTGCAGTGGAAATATCAAGATCCCCAAAGAATAACATGTCATACCAAGTTGTTTCCAGATACACTTTAGGAAATTTTGACGAATTTGGAGTTCATTGCATTGCTTATATGCTGTTAAAGCCGCAAGCATTCAAAATTGGTGTGGGACTCAGACGCCATCCCGCTATGGTAAAAACACTAGACAGATATTGTAGGGTAGTGTCTCCAAGTATTTGAGCCAGGGTCAACATTTAATGTAGAAGTTTTTTTTTTATTACTTGGAGAGTCCGTAGCTATAAAGACTATAGACTCCTATGGGACAAATCCACCATAGCAGATTCTTTAAAAATAGTGTAATGAGCCCCTCTTTCTTCCCTTCTTGACGCTCACTG